GCCTGCCTCAGCCTCAGCATCAGCCTGCCTCAGCATTCAAAATGTGGCCCGGGAATGGAGTTCTGGGAACTCGTAGAACACGAAGTGGCCTACAGTTGGCTCCGGGCATTCAAAATCATGCCTAGGAATTGAGTTCTGGGAACTCGAAGACCACGAAGTGGTCTACAGTTGGCTCCGGGCATTCAAAATCATGCCCAGGAGTGGAGTTAACTGGGAACTCGAAGACCACGAAGTGGCCTACAGTTGGCTCCGGGCATTCAAAATCATGCCCAGGAATGGAGTTCTGGGAACTCGAAGAACACGAAGTGGCCTACAGTTGGCTCCGGGCATTCAAAATCATGCCCAGGAATGGAGTTCTCGGAACTCGAAAACCACGAAGTGCGTTACTGTTTGCTAAAAAAGGAGTCCCCGGCATCCTCCCCCGGATCGCGCCCAGACCCCCCTGGGGCGTCATGATGCTCTCTTTTGACCCTACTAGAAACCTATCAGTCTTCGCTGTTAGGTAAAAACAGGACGGGGGGGGGGTCACTAGTTTCGGCCTCGGGGGGCCCTCGCCGGGCCTCGGAGCCGTCAACAAAACGACTCAGGAGGCGTCAGCAAAACGACTCAGGAGGAGAAACGGGCCCCGGGGAGAGAGCCTGGACTTCCTCGGGCGCCGCGCGGACAGAGGTCAGGGCGTCGCACGCCTGGGTCTCGGAGGCGAGGGGGGTGGCGCCGAAGTGGGACAGGAAGGCTCCCCCTCCGGGAGATCGTTTTTTTTTTGTCGGTGCCGGGGCTCGTGTCGTGCGCGCGGGCGGGGCGGAGCTGCGGCGGGCGGGCGGGGGGAGCGGAGCCCCCCTCCCGGCGAAGGGCGCGGCGAGGGCAGCGGGCGGCGGCCACGGGGTGTCCCGTCCCGAGGGTGTCCCGTCCCGAGGGTGTCCCCGCGGCGTGCCGCGGTGTTCCGCAGGGTCCCGCCGTGGCGTCCCGCGGTGGCGTCCCGTGGTGTCCCGCGGTGTCCCGCGGTGCCCCGTGCTGTCTCGTGCGGCCCTGTGGGGCCCATAGTTGGTGAGATCGATCGTGAGATCGGCAGTGGGATCGGCAGTAAGGTCGACGGTGTGGTCGATAGTGAGGTCGGTTGTGAGATCGGTAATTAGTGGAATCAATTGTGGTTTCGATCGTGAGAGGGCTAGTGGTATCGATTGTGAGACCGATCGAGAGATCGATGGTAAGATCGATAGTGAAATCGAGAGTGAGATCGATCGAGTGAGATAGATAGTGAGGTCGATTGAGTGAGACGTTGGTTCCTCCCTCCCCCCAGAACCTCCTTCTCACCCGAAGGGTGGTCGTATATGTTTCCTTCGCCCCCCAGGGATCCTTGAACATCGGACCCCCAGGCGGTGGATATGTGTATACACTCTGACCTCGCAAGGTTGGCGTATGTGTCGGGTCAGACCCCAGCGTGGCCCTGGCCAGACACGGGGATGGTGCACAGGCACCTTCTGCGCAAGGCTAAGCCTCGCCGCATGCCCGTGGGCGGGGCGCGATGCGCCCCGGGGCCGTGGCGGGCACATGGCTACGGTCGCCTTTGCTGCCGTGGCTGCGGCGGGGACGGGGGCGTGAGTCTCAGGAAGAGGAAGAGGAAGAGGAGGATGAGGAGGAGGAGGAGGAGGAGGAGGAGGAGCAGGAGGAGCAGGAGGAGCAGGAGGAGAAGGAGGAGGAGGAGAAGGAGGAGAGGGGAGGAGGAGAGGAGGAGGAGGAGGAGGAGGAGGAGGAAAGAGGAGGAGGAGTAGGAGGAGGAGGAGGAGGAGGAGGAGGAGGAGGAGGAGGAGGAGGAGGAGGAGGGGGAGAAGGAGCGACCATTTGCGAACCGTCCTCCTACCTTTAGATCTTGGCGTCTTGGTTTTTATACAGCCAGGCATGCTCGCCGGCGTTTTCGGGCCCCGGGACGCTGACAGATCAGTCCAGCTCGAAAGACGGCGCAGACAGATTGAGTCTGGGGCTCCAGTTTTGCTTTTGATGATGTAGTGTGTTTCGCGCCCACGGATCTCGGGAGTCGGGCTGAATCGACGCTGGCGCATTGGACACTCTACATTAGGTGCACTTGGCTGCAGACGTCCTTCCCTGCTCTGAGCCCCGGCCGGATCTTCAGACAGCTGACCTGCAGGAGCAGGGCTCACATGTGATTTGCCCAGTGGACACGTCAGGGCGTCGTCGGTCGTCGGTCGCCCGTCGTCACCGTCGTCGGCATCGTCGCCGTCGCCATCGTCGGTCAGCGTAGTCGTCCGTCGTCGTCGTCGTCGTCGTCGTCGTCGCCGTCGCCGCCGTCGTCGTCGTCGTCGTCGTCGTCGTCGCCGTCGCCGTCGCCGTCGCCGTCGCCGTCGCCGTCGCCGTCGCCGTCGCCGTCGCCGTCGCCGTCGCCGTCGCCGTCGTCCGTCGCCGTCGTCGTCGTCGTCGTCGTCGTCGCCATCGCCGTCGTCGTCGCCATCGCCGTCGTCGTCGTCGTCGTCGTCGTCGCCGTCGCCGTCGTCGTCTGTCGCTGGCTTTCCAGACCTCAAGCGCCGCGGAGAGAACCGCCACCGGGGGCGCGTCCGCGGCCTCGGCGCGCGGGGTCCGGGACTCCACGGGCCCTCCCAGCCCCCCGGAAGCTCCAGGGGACCTCGGAGGAGGCTCCCCGCCGCCGCCGCCGCGGCCGCCCCTGCCGCCCCTGCCGCGCACCCTCGGCCTCGCGGGTTGGGGCCCTGTAGGGGGCCACACGCGAACCCTACCCCTATCCCCCACGATTTCCGAGGGGGAGGGTGGGGTTCACTTCGCTCGGGAGCTCCCGAACGAAGTGAACCCCACTGTCCCCCTCAGAAATCGTGGGGGTTAGGGGTAGGGTTCGCGTGTGGCCCCCTACCCTGGGCCGGGACCCCGCGGCCCCGGGGCGCCTCCTCGCGGCAGCCCCGCGCGGGGCGCGGCCGTGCGACCCGCGCCGCCGCGGGAGCGCGCCTCCAGAGGCCAGGCCGCGAGGGCGCCGACGCGGAGGTTCTGCTCGCCGATCGTGAGCTGCGGCTGCTTCCGCCTTTGACCCCCAGAGATCCAACGCATTGAACAAGTCAGGACGGAGGTCTTGCGCAGTGTTTGGCCTCGCGGGGCCCTCGCCGGGCCCCTGGGACCGTCAGAGAACGACGCAGGACTAAAGACCGGTCCCGGAGAAAAGAGTCGGGACTTCCGGGGACCCCGCATGGTCGGGGGCGGCAAAGAGGGGGGTGATGACCAGGGGGGGGTGGATATCATGGCGGGGGCCATGATATTTCCCCCGACTTCATGGCGCCTCTTCTTCCCTGGCCCCCCCGCTGGGCCGCGCACCTGCCGCCGGCCATGATTGGCGCCCCCCCCTCAGGAGCGACAGAAGGACGTACATGTACATGAATCCACGCTGGTTTCGAGAGTTCGCATTGCGCGAATGTTCGTATCGCGCGGCAGGTCTCGCGGGTCAAGGGGCCGTGTTCATGTACATAGCTGGGCGCGTACGTCCTCTGTGTGCTCCCTACCCCCTCTTGGACACCCCCTTCTTGGCCGCTCCCGATGTTGCAAAACTCACGACGTCGATCCTCTGGCGCTCCAGCACCACCCGGGCCCTCGCGCGGCCCTGCGGAGGCCTGCCCGGGCGCACACAGCGGGCGGGCCGGGTGCCCCGGCGGGGCAGCGCCAGAGGCCGCAGCGAGATGCCCTCCACCGCGGGGGGCGCGCGCGCGCGGGGCGAGGGCTCGAGGGACTGGGACTGTCTTGTTGTAACACATCGGGCGTATGTTCTAACAACATTATTTTTGTTCTAAGAACATTTCTGGGTTCTAAGAACATTTCGTGGTCAAGAAGGAGAGCCGAGCATCAAGAAGCCGAGCATCAAGAAGAAAGCACCGAAGCTGGAGGGTGTTCGCGCGCCGGGCCCCCATGGGAGGCGATGCTCGCTCGGCACGAGAACTACTCGTTCGGCACCGTTTCGATAGATTTCTGGGTGCTCGACATTTGTTTTGGGTTGTGGTCCTTTAGTACGATGGGAGCAACATAAGGCTCGACGGGCCTGGATTGAGGTCGTGCCGTCCCTGTACAGGGGGAAAATTTCAAAACAGTCAAAACATAAGTCAGGGACGATTTTTGTAGTGTTTTTCGTCCCAAGTCCGCCTGCAGGAGGACACGCCCGACTTAACCTGAAGTGCGATGCGAGCAACATGAGTCAGGAGGGGACAAAAACACACAGGCACAATGAATCGTCGATTCCCCAGAAAATATGGGAAGATAGGGGAAGCGGGGGGGGGGAAGGCGAAAACCCAGAAAAGATGGGAGAATAGGGGGAACCCTGTTATGTGTGTGTATTCATTTGCGCGTCCTGGGGCCCCTTCAGTGAGGCCCGAAGGGCCTGGATGGCAGGAGCCGGTTGCGCGAAGGTCTCCACCCCATCGCGCGGCCAGCGCGTGGTCTGCTCGGGGCCTCGTGGGCCGCCCCGTCGGTGGCCTTCCCGGGGGCTCGCCCAGCAGAGCTCCTCGGCTCCGAGTGTCCGTCGGGCGCGTCCCTCTGCAGCAGGAATGCCCAGACATCGGGCGCCTCGAGAAAAATCGAGGCAAAGGTTTTTTGTATGGTTTTCGGGCTCTCGGGGCCCTCGCCGGGCCCCGGGACCGTCAAAAAACGGCTCGGGATGAGAAACCGGTCCCGGGGAACTGGTCGAGAGGTCGGGGGCCCGTGTCTCGAAAAAATCGAGACGCCGGATGTCTGGGTATTCAGAAATAGTCCATATATAGTCTGGGGACGATTTGTTTCTGCCATGCCTGCTCATGTTTGTGTAGTTTTGACCACTCGTCACTGTTCGTCCAACATCCGCCCGCAGGAGGACATGCCCGACCGAATTCTAAGTCGACTCCTGTTCGACTCGAGTTCGACTCCCAGTTCGACCCGAGCCCACGGACGCTCGACGCTGCGCCGGCACGAGCGGAGAGCGAGCGTCTCCAGGGAAGCTCCTCTGAGCGAGCGCCGAAGTCTACGAGAATACAGCAGGGCATTCGTCAGGAGGGGAACAAACACTCAGACACAATTCATCGTCGATTCCCTGGAAAATATGGGAAAATATGGGAAGCTGGGGGGAAGACAAAAACCCAGAACATGTGGGAAAATGTATTTATTTTTGTGTCCCAGGGCCCCTTCACTCCGGTCGGATGGTCCACCTGCGCGCTGCTGCCCGCCGCTCCGCGCCGTTCGCCGCCACACGCGGCCCACGAGCGAGGCAGGAGGAGCGGCCTGGCCGCCCCGCAAGCCGACCTGCTCCCGCCCACCCCCCGGGGTCCACGTCGACCCCGTTGGTCCGGCTCGAAGTCGGTCGTGGCCGGCCCGATCCGATTGCATCTCCGACACCGCGACGGTCCGATGCGCCCCGATGCCTAAGCTGGGCGCTGCCGTGCCTCCTGGCCCGGGTCGATGCCGACTCCGTGCCGCGGCGGCCCCCTCCGACGCCCAGTCCGATGCGATGCGATGTCCCGATGCGATGCTGCCTGATCCCGCCCTCGGTTGGGAGGGCCTCGTCCCGCTGCCGTTCAACCTTCGCAGGCCTAGAGGTTGACACCAACACCGATATCGGCGGTGTGCCTCTGCCGAGGGAAGAAGATCCCGATCTCGGTGATGGTGGTGATGTTCTGGCTTCCAAGGTGACCGAGATATTGCCACCAACACCGAAATCTAGGATCACCTTCCCCATGTGGAGGCAGCCCCCTGTGTTGGTGTTGGTGCCAAGTCCTAGGCGTCCAAAACCTGGCCCTCGGCGAGTGGCGGCCTCCGCGCGTTGGCGCCAGCTGTGGAAGCACGTTGGCCGCTCCCCTTCTCTTCCGTCATCAAGAAAATCACAGCCCCGAGCCCACCCTCCAGGCGGCCCGCACCTTGGACCCTGGGGCCCGGGTCCGGCGCGGCTCCGAGGCGAGGAAGCGGAGACATTGGCCGACTTGTGCACTGGGCTGCGGTGCAGAGACGGTGGAGGCACGTTGGGGCCCTCCTCTCTGGGCGCCTTCGCTGGCGCCCTCGCCCCCCCCCCCGCGGCGCGCCTCGCCCTTCTCGGCGGCGGGTCGGTCGGCGGAGGGCCCGTGGTTCGTGCCGGCTGCACGCAGCACCAGCGGCGGCGGGCCCTCCGGCGGGGGACCCGGCGGAAGCAGGAGTGCCTGAGGGCTCGGCCGCTGCACCTTGTTCACGGCGAGGGCCCCCGGCGGGCGCGGTCGGGGGACCCCCCCAAAGGAGTTTCGGGCGCCTCGGCGCCCCCCCCCCCCCTGAACGGCGCGGCCCGAGTGAGCACAGCGGGGCCCCCGAAGACCGCGCGGGGGATCCCCCAGAGGTCCTACTGCCTTTTCGTCGCGGGCGCCGCCGTCGCAGCCGCCGCCGCCCCCGCCGCCGCCGCCGTCCCGTCGCCGTCGCCTTGGTCGTCGCCGTCGTCGTCGTCGCCGCCGCCGTCGTCGGCGTCGTCGGCGTCGGCGTCGTCGTCGTCGGCGTCGTCGTCGTCGTCGTCGCCGCGGGCGTCGTGGTTGCCGTCGCTGCGGGCGCCGTCGGCCGCCGTCGCCGCGGGGCCAGGCGGCTGCTGCTGCTGCCCTGGGCGGCGGCGCTGGCGGGGCCGTGCGGCAATCGGAGCGCCTGCGTGGACGGCGGCCCCACGCCGCCGCTGCTGCTGCGGAGGGGGCGAGGAGGAGGAGGAGGAGGAGGAGGAGGAGGAGGAGGAGGAGGAGGAGGAGAGGAGGAGGAGGAGAGGAGGAGAGGAGGAGGAGGCGGAGGAGGAGGAGGGGAGGGGAGGGAGGAAGAGGAGGGGCGAGGAGGAGGAGGAGGAGGAGGAGGCGGGGGAGGAGGACGAGGAGATGGAGGACAAGGAGGAGGGGGAGGAGGAGGAGGAGGAGGAGGAGGAGGAGGAGGAGGAAGAAGACCAGTGTGAACCCTGTTCATAGGCCCCTACAAGGGTTCATTTCCGCTGAGGGAACTGTCCCGGTGGAAGACAACCGTTTGAAGACCCTGAAGCATGCAAAAACATGTTTTTCGGGATTCCAACGCCACGGATCACCCTGACTGCTGCGTCTTGACGATCCTGAATCGTGCCAGAACGCCATTCCTGGGAATTCATCACCGCGAATCAACTTACGTATTGCACCCTCATGGTTGTGAATCCTTCGAAAACACCATCTCTGGATCGCTGATCATGGAAATCCGTCAAACTCTTGCACATCAGAAACGACTGCGCGCGACGCTAAGGCGAGAGCCACATTTTGAAAAGGAACCGACCTCAATACGTGCAGCTCTTGCAGTTTGTTCTAACGCATGCGCGTGGCGCTAAGGCGAGAGCCACATATTGAGAACCAGTCGCCCCCAACCCGTGAAACTCTTGCATTAAGAAACAAACGCGCGCGGCACTAAGGCGAGAGCCACATTTTGAAAACGACCCGCCCTCCATGTATAAAACTGTTGCCACGTTTTCAGCTTCAGGGTCTCAGGCGAAACGATTGGCCTGCCCTAAAAACTGGTCCAGAGTGCGACAGGGAATGTTTATCTGCAAGGAATAGGAATAGAGGATGAGGAGAGGACGGAGGAGGAGGAGGAGGAGACGGAGGAGGAGAAGAGGAAGGAGATGGAGAATGAAGAGGAGACGGAGGAGGGGGAAGAGGAGGAGGTGGAGGAGGAGGAGGAGAAGAAGGAGGTTAGAGGCGGAGGAGAAAGAGGAGGAGGAGGCGGAGGAGGAAGAGGAGGGGGAGAAGGAGGAGGGGGGGAAGTTTGAGGAGGATGAGGCGGAGGAGGGGGATCAGAACGAGGAGGCGGAAAGGAATGATGAGGATCAGGATGGGGATGTTCATGGTCATGGCGATTGCGATGATGATGGTCATGATGCTGCTTATGATGGCGATGCTGATTGGGGTGATTATGATGCTGCGTCTGGCTGTGGCGACAACGACAACGACGACGATGATGATGATGACGCTGATGCTGATGGTGATGACGCTTCTGCTGCGAATGATGATGATAAAGCTGCTGATGCTGGCGATGGTGATGGTGGTGACGCGAGTGCGGATGGTGAAGCTGCTGCTGATGTTGATGACGATAATGATGGTGGTGATGGTGAGGATGGTGATGATGATGATTACGATGTTGATGATGCCGATGATGGTGAGGATGACGCTGTTGTTGATGACGGTGATGCTGATGGTGGTAGGGATGATGCTGTTGTTGTTGCTCATGATGACGATGACGATAATGCGTGTAGTGCTGATGGTGATGCTGTTGAGGATGCTGATGATGTTGATGATGATGATGATGATGATGATGCTGGTGATGATGATGATGATGATGATGATGATGATGATGCTGATGATGATGATGATGATGATGATGATGATGATGTTGATGATGATGATGATGATGATGGTGGTGGTGGTGGTGGTGGTGATGATCGTTGGGTCACATGCAGATGTAGCGTTCAACCAACAGCTCGTCCTTGCATGCGACGCAGGCTTCGCTTTGCAGGGGGAAAGTCAGGAAGCTGTCGCATCAAAGGATTGGCAGGCTTTATGGGCCATACGTTATTCCAAGGTGATTGCTCTTCTCCCCAGTTATCTTGAGCTGTTGGGTCCACGTTTTGAATCACCAGCGCTCCGTGCTTCCCATTATTCCTTATTCCTCCCCCTCTCGCCTCCTCCCTCCTCCCGCCTCCTCCTCCTCCTCCTCCTTCTCCTCCTCCTCCTCTTCCTTCTCCTCCTCCTCCTCCTCCTTCCCCTCCTCCTCCTCCTCCTTCTCCTCTTACAGCCGCAGAAAGGAGGAGGCAAAGGAGACGATCACCACACCCAACTCGGACAAGCTAGCAGCAACCTGCAGAATCTGTCGCTGCGCACGGCGATGATGACACGAGAACAGCAACACCTCAACTCGGACTTCTGGCTGATCCCGATCTCCTGTTCGCCGTGTCGAGTGGCCCTCCAAACAGGAAAAGACTACGCCATGCAAGTGGGAGCGGCGGGGAAAAAAACACATGATGGGCCCTCCTCACGCCCACGTCGCAGTTGCTACGATCTCCGAGATGAAAAACGTCCTGGCGGCGACGGTCAGCAAAGAGGGGGGGATCGGACTCTGCAGTGGAGCTACGAGATCCTCCAGCACTGGTTGAACCTGGCGTTCCACGAGAAGGGTCGAGAGTTCGTGCTAGAGACCCTGAAGCAGTTCAGGATGTCGGAAGCGTACAAGCCCACGGGTCAAGAAGACGACGGCAACGGGAAGGGCAAGCTGCTGTACACGATCAACCCGATGCCGAGCATCAGGGTGGCCATGGGCGCCGAGAGGGTTCCCAAGGAGAAGGACGAGTTAGAGATGGACGAGGACGGGAACCTAGAGAGCATGAAGGACGGGGAGGGGTATCAGAAGGACGAGCTGGACGACTACCACCCTCCCTGCCTGAAGCAGGCGATGGGCTACACGCTGAAGCTGCTGGGCGGGGTCTACAGCACGAGCCACGGCCCCAAGAGCGACCTGGAGAGGCAGGTGGAGAAGCAGATGCAGGCGTCGAGGTCGTAAGGGCAGAGGGACTGACCAGAGACGCGGAAGCGTCCATTCAGAGCGGCCAGGGCGCATCCAGCTCGACAGGGCCCGCCAAGACGCCAGTGCGCCCAGCCTTTTTCACGGTGGTGCCCTCGCCTCAGACGCTAGCCCAGCCAGTGACAGCTTCGCAGTACCAAGAGGAAAAGCTGGCAGAGATGTTGAGCCGTAATCCTGAATCGATGAAAAAAGCTAAAAAGAATTAGCAGACCAAGGTGGAAAAGACGGAAAAGCAAGCAGCTGTACGAACCAGCCAAGCGATTTCAAGCAGAGCGGCTCCAAGCATTACGATATCACTCGGAGGGTGCAGGAGGACGAGGAGGCAGTGGACAGGGGGACAGACAGCACAAATATGACGGTGCATTGGGTTTATACAGTTACGACGGGTACGTACAGGTGACAGGGGAGGGCATTACTACAAGTACGGGGCGGAGCACAGCACCAATGCAGAATGATGAAATGGCAAGGGAGTGGGGGCAACAGAGAGCACAAGTGGTAGGCCACGTAGGCGGGGAAAGTGCTGTGACGGACACCGCTACAGAGGGGGGATCTGGACACCGTACTAGGCACCGACATCGGCCCGTCCTTTTGTTCCGTGCCTACGGCATTGCTGCTGCGCAGATAGCATTCAGATGGGGGTAGCAGCATGCAGGACATCGGATGCTAGTGCCAGCTGTGCAGGTTTGTTCACACAGGAGAGCAGACAGGTATGCGGGGTCACAGGCCGAAGGCTCCCAGGAGGGCCCATGGGGGAGCTCTACTATACTCGAGGGGGGGGGGTGGGGCGTAGCGCCCATACGGGTGGGCACGATCCCTTAAAGGCGACGGAGCGTGCGCCCCCTCGAGTCTCAGACTTGTTCGCCTGAGCCCTCGGAGAGCTCACCCTGCTTTGACTCTTGCTACGTGTCCCGCCGACGGTCGGTCACAACAGGAGCGGAACATCCGTAGCACAACAGGCTTTCTGCAGTTGCGGTCTTTTGGTGGATCGCCACGCTCGCTTAGCACCAGCCTGTCCCGTGATGCCGCAGATGCTGCCAGCGATCGAGGAAGCACCAGTGTTTCGCGGAGACACCACGGCCAACCAAGTCATCGGAGACGTGGCATATGTGATCAAGCTCCAGGAGACCAACATCCAGAAGTGTGTGGACACGATGGCGGACCTCAAGAAGAAGCTCGAGATGCATATCGAGGTGCTGACTGCCCAGAAGAAGGTTCTGAGTCAGAACCTAGCGCGCAGCCAGCAGGTGAACGACACGACGGCGGAGGGAACGTTCATGCTGGCGGAGACCACTCAGACCTTGGCCGACCAGGTCAAGAGCATCGACGAGACCACGAGCGCGCTCATCACAGCACACGGGTCGCTGGCATGGAAGTACGACACACCACTGCAGATGGCATCGACAAAGGAGTATAGCAAGCTCCAGCTCGACGAGAAGGAGGACTTGCAGGGCCTGTCACGACGCAGAAGGTGAAGAGGGCCATGGTCGAGGCGAAGAGGGCGAACAACGGCACCGTCCCACCGTGGAGGGCGGACGACCCGAGCTCGTGGACCTTCTACGGGTGGGCGCCTCCAAAAAGGAGGAACCCCAGTGTGGAACGAGGACGACCCGAAGACCTGGACGTTCTACGGGTGGAGGGAGCCTAAGACGTGGGCCGACTACAAATAGGGTAAGAGCTCCAAGCCAGAGACGCCAGAGGAAGTAATTCCACAGAGTGAAGCGACGGCAGCAGCATCGAGTGACGGGTGCAACGTGCCGATCCCAGAGTCAGAGGAGGACCAGCCTTAGAAGAGAGCAGAGAGCGAGGAAGAGAGGCGCATCGTCACTGAGAGGCCGTTGCGCAGCTCCGCCCATTGCATCTTCGCGTTGCCGTTGACTGTTGAGAGGCCGGCGATCGCAAGAGAGAGACGTCGACATAGTCATGTGGGGGACCACGGAAACAATATGCCACGACAGCTGGGATTGTGAGTGTGATGACACGACTACTGGTCAGCCCCACTAAGGTCAGCCCCACTACTGGTCAGCTCCACTACTGATGTTTCTGTACCACCCCGTCTAGTGTTCTTTTTTTAGGGTTAGAGGAGTTTCGAGGGGGAGGGGGGGCGGGCCAGGGGGGGGTCGCCCCGTCTCGTGCCGCCCCGCCCCCGCGCGCCCGCCAGAGAGCGCGCCGCCGCAGGAGGCAGGCGCCCCGCAGCGGCCCTCCCTCCTCCTCCCCTCGGGTTGTGTGTGTGTGTGTGTGTGTGCGTGTGTGTGTGTGTGTGGGAGTTGTGAGCGCGTGCGCGGTGTGTTGTCTGTCTCGTGCATGTCCTTCATGCCCCTTGCCTTGGAGGGGGCGCACGTTGCTAGCTAAGTAGCCTGTGCCCCACTCCCGAGACTGAGAGCAGGACGCGATAGCGCTCCCTGCACGCCCCCCCCCCCCCCCCCCCCCCCTCGCTGTGTACCAGGGGGGCGCGCCCCAGGCAGGCCTACGGCATCAAGCGTAGGCCCTGCATCCATATTGTCTCGCAGGGGTATTATAAGGTCTTGCCCCGCGGTGCCTCGTGCCTGTCGTGGTTAGGATCGAACTCATCCCCGAAGCGCCTTTACCTTTTTTGTACCTCCTTCTCCTCCTTTCATCCTGGCGTGTATCCTCGGCGTGTCATCGGTCTATTCGGCGCACCCCTCGCACGTTTCGCGGCCCCGAGCACAGGCAGGGAGCTCCACCGACGGCACCCGTGGCACAGCTCGCATGCGCCCCCCGCAGCTCGGCGCGCCCCTTGCGGGCTGCGCGGCCCCAACGAGGAGTTCCGCCGAGGCGGAGGAGCAGGAGGGGGACGAGGAGGAGAGAAGGCGGAGGCTGTCTCACCTTAGCTGCCTCGATACGTCCGTGTCAATGCCGCTGCGTGCTGGCTCCACGTGTAAGACCACGTTTTGGCGAGTGCATCGCGTCGGACATACGTTTTCAGCCTACGCGTTGAGCCCCGTATCAATACGATACGTGTTGCGCGTTGCGTATCGGGGCAGCTAAGTGTCTCACAGGTGCGTTCTGCTCGTGACTTGGGCCGGCTGGTTCGAGATATTTGGTCCAGGCATCCTGCGCTATTGGAGGAGGGAAAGGCGCGGGAGGAGGGGGGGGGACGGGATGATGGGGGCTGCCGCCGCCGATGAGCGAGGCATGGAGGGAGGGGGGTCTCCCTTGTTTTTTATATGGGCGGCTTGCTCGCCTCGTAATGCCGACGCGGCGGAAGCGGGGCCGACGGAAAAGGAGGAGGGGGGGCGGGGGGGAGGGCGGGGAGATTGGGGATGCTGGCGCGGAGGAGGGAGGCCTCGGGGGCCAGCTGCTGCTGCAGCTTTGCGCCGGGGGCGCGCGTGGGGGCGCCTCCCCCGGGGGGCACTGCTGCTGCTGCCGTCCACCGCTGCACTCGGTGCTCGTACGAGCGCGAGCCTGCCGCCACGGTCCGTGCAGCGCCTCACGCGGGAGCTCGGCGACCCCGGCGGCAGCACACCGCTGCCTGGGGTTCGTTGGGGCTCCTCGGCGGCGCGACACCCAAACATCCAGCTGCTCCAATGTTTTCGACGCGTGGGCCACGGAGGTCTTTGGACCACTTCCCTAAGGCCCGCTTTCCGCCCCGAGTAGTGCTTTGGCGCTCCCGAGGCCCGGCGAGGGCCCCCGGATGCCGAAATCAGGCCAATCCCGCCCGCTCCAATTCTTTTGGAGCGTCGGATCTCTGGGTGGGGCCCGCTGGGGCTCCTCCTCGGCGGCGCGAAAGAGGCCCGTCGGGTCTTCGCCGTGCTCCCTGGGGCGGAAGCCTGCCCCCAGGGAGGGTCTCTGGAGCCCTGGAGCCGCGCATCGTGAAGCTCGCGTCGTCGGAAGTCAGGGCAGGAGGGAGAGGGGCAGACTGGGGAGCAGACGACGTGCTCGTGGCCTTTGTCTGAGGTTTCTGGACGATTCCTGCGATGTGCATCGATTGCCGATCTGGCTTCCCGATCCGACCTGGCGTCCCTGGGGGGTGCATCTGGCTCGTCTGCCAGCTCTCTCCTGCCTCGCGAGGTCTCGGGAGGCCTCTGAAAGGCCGTCGGAGGTCCCGGGAGGCTTCCGAAAGGTCCTGTGGAGTTCTCTGGAGGCTTCTGCAGTTCCGGAGGCCAGGACATTGCTGAAAAGCGCCAATACGCCCCGATCCTCCTCATTCTCCTACTCCTTTTCCTCCCCCTCCTCCCCGTCCTCGAACCTTGATCCTCCATCCTCGAATTTCCCATCTCGAACATCCTCCTCCACCCTCCCCCGCTGCCCATCCTTGAACGTCGACGCCCTGGCCTCGATCCTCGATCATTAACCCTCATCGTCGTTGATCCTCTTCCTCCCCGGCCTTCGACCCTGGATCCTCGAGCCACGATGCTCGAGCCCCTCCTCGACCCACGATCCTCGAGCCACGACCTGGATCCTCGAGCCGCGATCCTCGAGCCCCTCCTCGACCCTGGATCCTCGAGCCGCGATCCTCGAGCCAGCCTGGAGCCTCGACCCACGAGCCTCGGGCCACGATCCTCGAGCCCCTCTTCGATGCTCCTCGATCCTCCGCCTCGACCCTCGACTCCCGCGAGGGGGGGGGCGCCGCCGGAGGCCCCGCGACAGGGCGGCCGCGGCGGGCGGCCGCAGGCGCACGGCCTCCGCGCAGAACTCGACGCAAGCAATGCTCTAGGCCTCCTGCTCCTCCTCCTCCTCCTCCTCCTCCTCCTCCTCCTCCTCCTCCTCCTCCTCCTCCTCCTCCTCCTCCTCCTCCTCCTCCTCCTCCTCCTCCTCGATCCTCCTCGATCCTCCGCCTCGATCCTCGATCCTCCTCGATCCTCGACCCCCGGGCCCGCAGGACTGGGTCGCAGGCGTCGAGGCGCCGCTCTGGGTGCCCGCCGCGGCGGCGGGGCAGCTCGGGGCGGCCGGCCGCCTGAGGGTGCGGCCGCTCGGCGACGTCTGCGGCGGAGCTGGCTCCAGCGAGGATGGGGGGGGGCGATGGTGATGATGATGATGATGATGATGATGATGATGATGATGATGATGATGATGATGATGATGATGATGATGATGATGATGAGACTTGTCCTCAGAACGTGCAGGAGATGAATACACAGAGTCCGCATACGTTTCGCTCAAGCCTTTTTCGCCTCAGGGAGCACCTGACACGTATGCGCCCTCTCGCTCTCCGGCCGCCATCCTGGTCGCTGGTCTGCATCTGGTGTGCTCTGGACGCGTTGCAGCCAGGCCTGCTGCGCGCGGGCGGCGGAGGCGGTCCGCCCGACGACTGGGACAGTCGGGCGGCCCTCGCTGCCCAGCGGGCTGCCGAGCGCGGGGCCCAGCTCGCCGCGGCGCACGCGGCCAACCTCAGCCGGTGCCACGCCGCGCTGGACGAGGTGCAGGTCGCGCTGGCCAACCTGTCCGCGGAGCTGGCCGAGCTCCGCGCCCTGCGGGCCGCGCCGCCCGAGCTGCCCGAGGAGCCCGACACGCTCCTGTGGCACGCGCTCGGGGTGGTGCTGACCGCGGCGCTGACGCAGTGTGGCGCTTGCCTCGCCGCCTGGCGTCGCCGCGATGGCCCTCCTGCCCGCGAACCTGAGCCTCTTCCTGTACGACGGGACCGCCGCCGAGGCGGAGGAGTTCTTCAATGAGCTGGTGCCAGGGCGGGTCGTGTGCTTCTACTATGAGGACGACCCGAACATATGGCACGAACGGTTGCTGTTGTGGCCGTGCCCTGGCGCCTTCCCCAACACATGCTGGACTTGCCTCACGCCTGACGGCGACGTGTACCCTGGCGGCAGGGCCCGATGGCGACGGGCCGAGCCGCGTTTCCCTCACGATGGGGGCGAGTCCCGCTGCTGTTCGCCCCCCGGGGCGAGTCTACAGGTCTCGTGAATATCCCGCCGAGGAGGACATGATCGACCTCTTTCGGGACGCTCGCCTGGCCGCCCGCAACGCCGGCTTGCGCGAGTCCGAGCCGACCGCCTTCATGCGCGACGGCGGCCGGCCCACCAAGAGCATGACGGTCAGCTTCAACGACGTGCCAGGCTTCTTGCGCCGCACGCGGGGCAAGGGCCCGTCCGCTGCCGCGCCGCGCGGCCCGCCTCGTGGCCCGCCTGTGGCCCCGCCCCCGCTGGACGCCGCGGGCGCTGAGCCAGGGGCGCTCGCCGACGGCGAGGTCGGGGGCACTCCGACCCCGAGGGGCGGCCCTGGCGCGGTGGTGCTCACTGACGAGCGGGCCGCGCCGCCTGGGTCTGCTGGTTTGTGATGAAGACGATCCCGAACGAGTGCCAGCAGCTCGACGAGGTCGCCCCGAAGGCGGGTGACGTGGTCTGGGGCGAGAGCGGGCACTACAGCACGGCGGGCGGCTTCGTCGTGCCGATCGAGCTCCACCCTGTCCCGCTGCCTGTCGAGGTGTCGGACAAGCTAGCTGACGACGACGCCCGCCTCCTCGGCCCTCTCCAGCGCACGCGGGAGGGCCGTAAGCACCGCGACTTTCGCGAGGCGGTGTCGTCCATGAGGCAGGAGCAGCATGACGACTTCCCGCTCGTCGGCGAGCGCAGTTTCAAGTGGCTGTGCGACTACATCGTCGACCACGGCGGCACCCCCGACGGCCGCCACGCCAAGTGGATGATGGAGAGCGGCTGCGCCAAGGATTCGGCGGCCGCGCACATCCACGACTTGCTCGGCTTCGCCATCGAGATGGCCGTCACCTACGACCAGGTCGACGGCTCCAACCTCGCCAGCATGGAGGTGGTCTCGCGGGCCTACCAGCTGATCGAGGAGACCATGGGGAGCATGAAGATCGAGGGCGTCGAGCACTACATCGGCCGCCAGAAGCAGAGCGCCCGCCGCGGCGTCGCGACGGCGCCGGGGGTCGCCAAGTGCGCCACCGACCAGCTCGCCAAGGAGACGACGGAGATCCAGAAGCAGAGGCGCAAGGCGCGCGAGGAGAAATCTGCCCAGTCGGGCAGGAAGGACAAGGGGTGACCTGGGGTCAGCGATCGGGAGGTGGCTCGACCCGATCGCCGCATTTCGAGAGCCAGTTTTGTGGACCTGCTGGTGTCTAACCTCCTGGCGATGGCATGCTGCCTTTTGCCGTGTCTGCGTCGCCGATTGCTTCGCCTCCACCGCCTGGACTATCCCGTTCGGTTCGGGCTCGCCTTTCCCGCGCCCAGTTGATCGAGGAGCGCACTCGGGACACCGTGGAGTGCCTCAACCTGCTTGGGGGCTACGCCACACCGCGGGTCGCGCCAGAGCGCCTCTCACATCTGGATGATCTGCTGCATCGGCGTGTTCGAGGGTTGTATCGTGATACGGCTGCCCCTCCGAGCACGTCGGCCCAGGAAGCCTGCTCAGAGCTTTTGGGTCGCCCGTGTCTGCACTACGACACGGCTAACGACTTGCCGCTGAGGCCCTACGCTCCGCACCTCGTGAGCTGGCCCGAGTTGGGAAACGAGCCTCAGTGGCTCGCGGATCGGCTGGGGACAAGCGAACGATGCTCTCTCTTGGACCTCGACCATGCTTTGCTGCTGCCGCCACCGAGCTTCGACGAGGCCGTGGAGACAGAGGGGGGGCCCACGTTGTACACGGACCCTGTGCTGGAGCGGAACAGGCCGCTCTACCTTGAATTCATCCAGTCTGGCATCTCGCGGGGCGTCTTCGTCTTAGGGAAAGAGAGGACCGAGGACGTCTCCGCCTTCTTCGTGGCTAAGAAGGACGAGCGGATCAGGATGGTGCTGGACTGCAGGCGTAGCAACCAGCGGTTTCAGCCTCCTCCGTCGGTCAGCCTGTTCTCCGCCGCGGGGTTCGCGGACCCCGAGGTGCCAAAGGACACGCCCCTCTACTACGCGGGGGTGGGCGTCCAGAACGCGTTCTACCAGCACAAGCTGCCGGCCTACCTGCGGTCGTACTTCTGCTTGCCGAAGGTCACCGCGGGCGAGCTCGGCATCAGCAGGCTTGACGGGCGGCGTGTCCCGCCCTGGGCCTGCCTTTACCCAGAACTTGCCGTTGTTCCCATGGGGTGGAGCTGGGCACTCTTCTTCGTTCAGAAGGCTCACGAGCGGACGCTGGGCCAGCACGACGCCCTGAGGCCCGAGCGGCGGGCGGTCGACTTCGTGCCGGTCCCCAGCCCGCTCGAGGAGCCCATCCACTCGCTGTACGTCGACAACGTGCTCGTGGTGGGCACCGACCGCGAGGCCGTGACCAAGGTCAGGCGCGAGGCCTCCAAGGCGCTGGAGGGCTCCGGCCTGGCCGTCCATGACGAGACCGACGCCGCCGAGAGCATGGCCATGCTCGGCGGGCAGCTGCAGGGATCGCCTGCCCGCGCCACCTTGGCGCCGCGGCGGTTCTGGAAGCTGCGCATGGGGCTCGGCTACTTGGCGCAGCGCCGGCCCCGCGTCACCAGCCGCGACGTCGAGCACGCCATCGGCCACTGCACGTTTGCCGCGCTGTGCCGGCGTGAGAGCTTGAGCTGCTTCAGCGCCGTCTACTCGTTCGTCCAGCAGAACTGCCAGCGCGCCAGGCCCCTCTGGGCGCCGGCGCGGCGCGAGTTCAGGATCTCCCGCGGCCTGCTGGTCACGCTCGTCTCGGACCTCGACGCCGAGTGGTCCACCAAGGTCGTCATGACTGACGCCTGCGAGACGGGCCACGCCTCTGTCGAGGGCGAGTGGGACCTTTCCGAGGTGCAGAGTGCTGGTCGCTGGCACGAGCGGCGGCGGTTCCGCAACACGCGTGAGGCGGACGGGGTTTGGCGGCCGCGCGACCGCGCGGCACGTGCGGCCGAGGTCGCCGAGCTCGATGCGCACCCGTCTGTTCTGTTGCGCCAGGGTCTCGCCAACAAACGATCCCCTGAAGTGTCGACGCACACCATCCGCCGCACCAGCTGGTCGACCACGCACTATTCGCCACTCTTCGTCAAGGAGCCCATGCATCGTAAGGAGGCAAGGGGTGATTTACACGCCGTGAAGCTGATCCTGTCGGACGCGGACTCCTGGGGGAAGAGGCGCGTCGTCTTGGGGGACAATCTAGCACTCGCACTTGCACTATCTAAAGGGCGCTGTCGTGATATATTTCTGCTCAATGTCTTGCGGCGAGGCGCCGCCTTGACTCTCGCCTCGGGGGCCCGCATGCATCGACGATGGGTGCCCAGCGAGTTCAATGCGGCCGACGGTGACAGCCGCTCCCGCGAGGGTGCTGCAGGGCGCGCTGCATCTGGGGCCGGCTGGCGCGCTACCGCGGCGCGCGGGCGTCAGCTCCGGCACCGCCGCGGCTCGGCGCGGGGCCCCGAGGGCGACAGTCGGCTCGGCAGCGGCTGGCCCGCGGCCCCCGCGGGCCCGCCGGGACTCGGCCGCCTCGCAGGCGAAGCTGAAGCTCTCCACCTTTTCTCCGGCCGTAAGGACCCTTGCGGCCGGGGAAAAATCAGCCCCGCCGCCGGCAGCCGCGCGCCCGCTGCGGCCCCGCGGCCTCGCGGCGCCGCCGCCGACCAGGCGGCTCAAGCGCAGCGCGCCTGGGAGCGGCCCGACAGCGCAGGCCCCTTTGCGGCCCTCGGCGGCTCGGACGCCGGCGCGTCGCAGCTCGGGCCCCCTGGGCTCGCCCGCCCTGCGCCGCCGCGAGGCTCTGACTCGACGCCCGTCGGTGGTGCTGGCGGCCCCGCGCAGCATCCCCCAGCGGGAGCTGCCGCGCCCTGCGCAGCGCCGCCTGGACGCTGGGGAGCAGGCGCGGGACACCACCCGCCAGCTCTCTATCACCGAGGCTGCCGCGGTGGGACGGCGGAGCCGACTGCAGTGCACGCGGCTGCTCGAGCTGTTCCTCAGTCGCAGTCGCCTGACATCTCTGGCTGCGCCTGCTGCCGACACGGACGCCGCCGTGGTGAGGTTCTTCGACGAGCTGTACCTCGAGGGGAAGGTCGCGTCGACGGGCGAGAAGCTGCTCGCCGCCATCTTCATGCACGTGCCCGACTACCAGAGCAAGAGGAAGCTGGCCCTGCCGCGCGCCTACCGCGCGCTGCGAGGTTGGCGCCTGCTGCGGCCGTCGCGGACGCGGCGCCCGCTGCCCTGGGCGGCTTGCGTGGGCGTGGCGCGCCAGATCTGGCGGATCAGCGGCCGCCCCGACCTCGCGGTGTTCTGGCTCCTGATGGTGGACACGTACCTGAGGCCTGGCGAGGCGTTCCGCCTGACCTGCGGCCAGGTGATCCCGCCGCAGGCGCACATGCCCAAGGTGACGATCCACATCAACCCCGACTACATGAAGAGACCGAGCAAGACTGGCGAGATGGACGAGACAGTGGACGTGGCACGTCCGTGGCTGGGCAGCCTTCTGGTTCGGCTAGCCCAGGGCCCGCCCAGCGCCCCCCTGTGGACGTTCACCATGACGGAGGCCAAGGACGTGTTCGAGCGCGCGACGCGCGCGCTGGGCTTGGATAAGCAGCTGCCCGTGTTCTACACGGCCCGGCGCAGCGGCGCGTCCATCGACCGCTTCACGGGGGGGATCTCGTTGCAGGAGGTCCAGCGGCGCGGCAGGTGGCGCCAGCCGAGCTCGGTCAGGCGCTACGAGAAGCGCGGGCTCATCCAGGCGGCGTGGAGCGAGATGGAGCCCTCGGCCAGGACCTACTGCCTCCATGCCGAGGCCGAGCTGCCCTCGCTGCTCGGCGCCGCCTCGCTATCCGTCAACGCTTGAGCGATCCCCGCGCCAAGAGACACGAGTATTTCTACATAGAAATCTTCTCGGGCTCGGAACATTTCTCGAGTTCGCTGCGCCGTCGTGGTTTCAGAGTGCACTCATTTGATTTGCTACAAGGGCCCCAAGGTGACCTCCTGAGGCCCGCCGTCTTGAAGCGCATCCTGCGGATGATCAAGTCCGACAGATGTCTCGGTGTGCTAGCTGGTGTGCCATGTAAATCGTTCTCCATTGCCCGAGGAGGCCATAATGCAATTAGATCGTCGCAAGCTCCCTCTGGCCTCCCCTCGCTCCCTCCTCATCTGCAATGCCTGGTAGACGAGGGCAACAAACTGTTTCAGGTGTCCTGTAAGATCTTTAAGTGCTGTAAAAAGATGCGGGTTTCTTTCTTGTGGGAGAATCCTCAGTCATCCTACATGTGGAAAATGGATGCTGCCGTTCAGATTTTTCGCTGGCCCGGGGTCCGCGATATTATAACTAACTATTGCGGTTGGGGCACGCCGTGGTGTAAACCCAGTAGGCTGAGATGCTTCCTGCTGCCGAGAGCCGACGAATTGTGTAAGGGTTGTAAAGCTGTCCGTGGCATCTGCTCGTTCTCTGGAAAGAAACACCAGATTCTCCAGGGCCGAGACGGCCTGGGCATTCACTGGACCGCTCGCGCCGCAGCTTACCCTCACGTTCTTGCGAATCGAATGGCCGATGTGTTTCAAGATGCTGCATTCGATCGAGTCTTTCGGCAAACCATCCGCCTGTACCCCTTCCGTGTGAAAGACCCCGAGCCGCGCTGACGGCAGAGAACCGATAGCGACTTTTGGTGCCTCGAATGTCGGCACGGATCTGTAAAGTGCGTGTTCTCAGAATTGTGCTGTCTGCAAGGTCGCCACATGCGGATGACATATATGAGAGCTCTGTGTAAAAGGACGGGTGGGGAATCTCCGACTTGTCCTCAGAACGTGCAGGAAATGAATACACAGAGTCCGTATACGTTTCGCTCAAGCCTCCCTCCCTGTCTGAACTGGTGCACGACCTACCCGCCCTGGCTTTTGGCGGGCCGCAAGCAATTGTATTGACTGCACGGATCTGTAAAGTGCGTTGTTGTGTGTCTCACGCCGGCGTGTTCTCAGAATTGTGTTGTCTGCAAGGTCACCACATGCGGATGACATATATGAGAGCTCTGTGTAAAAAGGACGGGTGGGGAATCTCCTGATGATGATGATGATGGTGATGGAAAGGATGATGTTGATGGTGGTGGTGATGATGATGATGATGCTGATGATGATGCTGATGCTGATGATGATGATGCTGATGCTGATGATGATGATGATGGTGATGATGATGATGATCCTGCTGATGGTGACGGTGATGATGTTGATGATGATTATGATGAGTAGGTTGCTAATGGTGATGCTGATGCTGATGATGCTGCTGATGATGCTGATGATGATGACGACGACGAAGACGACGAAGACGACGATGTCTATGTGGCTGTTGATGATGGCGACTGCGGTGAGGATGGCGGTTATGACGACGGCGATGGTGACGGCGCGTATTGCGATGGTGCCGCAGGGCGTATGGGGCAGGATGGTCTCTGCCAGACGGTGAGGAGGAGGCTTGGCGCCGGGCCCCGCGCAAGGGGGGGGGGGGGGGGGGCGGCAGGCGGAGCGGCAGCAACTCGCCGGGGGGGAGGGAAGAAGACAGAACGCCGCAAACATACACACGTCTCTGGGGTCCGCATGCTGACTCAGCCGGCGTAGCCGCCCTTGTGGTACAGTAGGTTGACATCCTGACGCTACACCAAACAGCGCTCGATGTGTGCTGAGTGTGACAGGCGCGCCAGGCGCGCTATGTAGGTGCGCCAGATCGCCGACTCTGGCGACCCTGGGTCCGCCAGCGTTGACCCTTCTCTGGGGTCCACAGACTTATTCAGCCGGCGTAGCCTCGGCTTGCAAGCACGTGTCCCAGGGAAGTTTCTTATCACCCGATGGCCCAGGGATCCTCAGAAGCTCAGGGGCACCTTTCGAAAAAGAAAAAACGGCATAAACATTGAGTTCTGGCGCTCCGCGCGGACTTCTTGGATCTGCGTGGGGGCCCGGCGCGGATCCAAGAAATCCGCGCGGAGCGCCAAAAGTTTCTGTTCGTGACCTTTTCCCTTCTTTGAACTTCGAGTCTCGAGGGGAGGAGGAGGAGGACGAGAAGGAAGAGGAGGAGGAGGAGGGAGGAGGAGGAGGAAGAGGAGGAGGAGGAGGAGGACGAAGAGGAGAGGACAGGATGAGGAGAGGAGGAGGAGGAGGAGGAGGAGGAGGAGGAGGGTAGTGGAGGAGGAGGAGGAGGAGGAGAGGGAAGAGGAGGAGGAGGAGGGGGAGTATCGCCGAACGTTTGTGGCATTCTTTCTTCTAGTGGAGGGGGGGTGCGGCCGCGGCCGGGGAGATGGACGTCGCGGTGCAGCCGCCGTGCGCGGGCCACGTGTGCGAGGGCCCCACGGAGCGGAGCGGGTCCGAGGCCCGGCCCCAGGAGAAAGGAGGAGGAGGAGGAGGAGAGGAGGAGGGAGGGGGAGCGAGGAGCAGGAAAGGAGAGGAGGAGGAGGAGGAGGAGGAGGAGAGGGAGGGGGAGGAGGGGGAGGAGGAGGAGGAGGAGGAGGAGGAGGAGGTGGAGGAGGAGGAGGGGGAGGATCGAGGAGGAGGATGAGGAGGAGGAGGAGGAGGAGGAGGGGGCTGGTCCTCGTCCCCCTGCTCCTTTTCCTGCTCCTCCTCCTCCTCCTATTCCTCGTGTTCCTCGTCCTCCTCCTCCTCCTCCTCCTCCTCCTCCTCCTCCTCATCATCATCATCATCATCATCATCATCCTCCTTGTCCTCCTCCTCGCCCTCGTCCACGCCAGGACTTTCGAGGATCGAGGTTAAAGGAACGAGCTTCGAGGAGCGAGCTTCGAGGCTTCAGGATCGAGGTTGGAGGGTCCAGGTTGGAGACTAGAGACTAGGGGAGCAAGGTTCGAGGATCGAAGCTCGAGAGTTCAGGATCGAGGCTCGGGGCTCGTGGATGGAGGCTCGATGTTCGAGGGTGGCGGGCTTCTCGGCCGGCAGGTAGCGGGGTGCAGCGTGAGCGGGGCTCGGCCAGAGAGCTGGATGCTGCAGGATGCTGCGAAGTACAGCTGGATCCCTGGGGCCGCCCGCGGCCATGTGGCCTTACATGATGGACGGATCGGGTTTCAGCAGCCCCTGATAGGACCCCAACACCACTGCAGCGCAGCTCTATCTGCGTGTATTGGCTGGGCCGGGCTTGTGCTGAGCCTGGAGCGTCCACGCCCGACCTTCGAGGATCGCAGTTCGAGGAGCGAGGTTTGTTGATCGAGGTGCGTTGATCAAGGACCGAGGTTCGAGGATCGAGGATCGATGCTCGATTGTCCAAGCTGTCAGGCGTGAGGGCATGTTTGCTGCCTGTGGGAAGCTTCTTGTCGCCACTGGTGGCGCTCCCCTCGACGGTTCTGGTCAGAACGCGTCCCTGAGCGGCGGCGATGGCGGGAGGGGGAGGAGGTATAGGGGGAAGGAGGAAGAGAACGATGAGGGGGACGAGGAGGGGGATTGAGGGGTTGGGGGGGTGGGGCAGGGTAGGAGTGGGATGAGGACGGGGAGGAGGAGGAGGAGGATGAGGAGGAGGAGGAGGAGGAGGAGGGTATGAAGGAGGTTAGGAGAGGGAGGAGGAAAGGGAAGAGGAAGCAGATGGTGAGGATGAGGATGATGACGATCAGGAAGAGGAGGAGGAGAAGGAGGAAGAGGAGGAGGAGGAGGAGGAGGACGAGGAACACGATGATTTCCACACATCAACCACCAACCACACCACAACAGGCAGCCTGAGCTGCCGTTTTGAGGGGCCAGATCAAACAAGGCCTTTCACGACCAGGATTCTTCTCCTAGCGGCCCCAGGTTAAGCGGAACGCCAATCTTCGGATGTTTTCCCCCTTGAGGATGCACAGCCTCGTGTGACAGTGTCCTGTGTCTCGCGGGTCCGAGGTAAAGGGGTCCCGTGCATCTGTCCCGGCGATCCCTGACCTGGCCGCCAGAAGTGCAGTGACAGCATCCAGCGCACATGGCCAACATATTTTCGCCATCATTGATCTCGAAATAGGCCGGTGATCGAGGTCCTTCAAATCTGCACGACCGAGATGGGCACGGAAAGAATGGGTACAATGCCAAACAGCGGATCTGGTTCATTTTGAACAAGACTCGCTGTCCACGCCGCCGCGGCCTGTGTCCATTCGAGACAGAAGGCCGCCTGCCCAACAGCGGCCGCTGTTGGTTTGGGACAGCATTTGTTGTCGGCAGTTTACCCATTCTTTCCGTACTCATTCCGGGCGTCCAGAGAGGAGGAGGAGGAGGAGGAGGAGGAGGAGGAGGAGGAGGAGGAGGAGGAGGAGAAGGAGAAGGAGTGAAAGGAGGAGGAGGAGGAGGAAGAGGAGGAGGAGGGAGGAGGATCGAGGACGAGGAGGAGGAGGAGGCAGCTGGTCCTCGTCCTCCTGCTCCTCCTCCCGTACCCATTTCGGGCGTCCAACACAAAGTCTGGCCTGCGATTCTACCCATACCCGTCCAGACTTTGATTTGGACGTCCGTGGAAAGTCAAATGTTCCATTTTGGGCGTATCAGGGCTAAGGCTTTCCGTACCCATTTCGGGCGTCCGAATCAAAGTCTGGCCCGCGATTCTTTTATGGTCGTCGTGCCTTGGCAACGACCAGCTTCCGTCTTCCAGGGCCCACGGGCCGCAGGAGATCCCTGACTTGGCCGCCAGAGGTGCAGCGACATGTTTTCGCCATCATTGATCTCGAGATAGGCCGGTGGTCGAGGTCCTCCAAGTGACGAACGAACAACACACACCCATACCCATAGGGGGAACGTTGAGAGGAGGACTGGCTATGGGTATGGGTGCGGGTTGTCGGATCCTGGGGGGCGCTTCCTTTCGAGCGGGGACCCCCATCCAACAACACGCACCCCTGGCTTGCTCCGTCCCACCTATGGATATGGGTGCGTGTTGTTCGCTCGTCCTCCAAAGTCTGGCCCGCGATTCTTTTTTATGGTCGTCGTGCCCTGGCAGGGACCAGGTGCCGTCCTCCAGGGCCCACCGGGCCGCAGGGGAGCACGAGGCACACACCTCCAGCATCTACCTTCAAGTCGGGCCTGTCCCCCCTACAGGAGGGTTCTCGACGAAAGATAAAAAAGTACCCCAGAGACAATCAAAAGATGGTTCAAAAATAATATGGGGGCTATTTTCTGAGTAGTGTTTGACCCTTTTGGGGTATTTTTGGGATATCTTGTATGATTCGTCGAAAATCCCCCTGTAGGGGGACAGGCCCGACATAAATCTACCCTCACGGTGCCAGTCGTGAGGCGGGGGAGGAGGAGGTCTCGGAGCGGAGGGGGGCCTCCTCAGGGGTCTCCCGCAAGGTTCAACCTGGGCCAAGGACTTGGCATCGCTCGGACGCTCGGACGCTCGGACCATCGAGGAGCATCTTTGATCATTTAGCGAAAAATACATGCACGAAATCGAAAAATGCACGGGGAATGGACGTCCGAGCGATGGCGAGAGGAGGCAGACCATGTGTATAGAGCCTACAAACAGCATGCGAGATGCGCTGTACACGGGCACCTCGCTCGACCCCGTTGGGCGATGGCTGCAAGTAACACGTAGCAGCCAGCCTGGCAGCCTTGTCACTTTGGTCGTTGCCATACTTGTGTCCACGCAGCTCTGGGGGCAGGTTGGCGCTTCCGGCCGCATGGCCGTTGACCTTAACAACCGTACTTGTTCAGGGGCCCAGAGCTTGGAGCATGAATCCAGCATATGGCTCACCACAGGACAACCTGGCCTGGACACTTTCCTGGTCCTGGTGGACAACATTCAAACGATCACTGAGTACGTGGTCAGACCCTCGGCCACATTGAGCGGCCATACAATGGGCTGCAAACTGCGCAGCCTGAGGTGTCTGAGGGAAGAAGTCATGAGGAGGCCCGACATTATACACTTGACGAGTCCCGTGTCTTCAGGGGCCGCCACAGCCGACCACCTTGTCCTGGAGAGGTCTGGTCGCACACTCGCGAAACGGGAGCCGTCCACGCATCGTCGGCCCTCCAGGGCCGTGGGATCGCAGCTGGGGTTGTCAACCCGCTCCGTTTTGAAGCCGGAGTCAGGTCCGTCGATCTGGTTCCTTTCGTCGGGGAAGGGTATCACTTGGGTGCACGCGCAGACCACGGGCATAGAGCAAGTGCTCGGTAAGGCCATGATGTTCAGACAGCTCAGGAGGAGGGCGTAAGCTGATGTCGCGGCCCAGTGTATCACTCCGCCCCTCCTCCACCACAGGGCAGTGCTAAACTCGATGCAGCATGCTGCGGGGCGCTCCACCCCAGCGGGTAAGAGAGGTCTTCTAGCTGATATCCTGACGCAGCAGCTCGATCGCTACACCAAACAGCGCTCGATGTGTGCTGAGTGTGATAAGCGCGCCAGGCGCGCTGGGTAGGTGCGCAAGATCGCCGACTCTGGCGACTCTGGGTCCGCCAGCGTTGACTGTGGACTGATTCAGCCGGCGTAGCCGCCCTCGTGTTACAGTATAGGCACATCAAGTGTGGCATCGGCTTGCAAGCACGTGTCCGACGGAAGCTTCTTCTCACCCGATGGCCCAGGGATTCTCAGACGCTCAGGGGCACCTTTCGAAGTAGAAATATCGCCTTCAACTGAAACTTTGGCGCTCCGCGCGGATTTCTTGGATCTGCGCTGGGTCCCCCGGTGGCGCCTCCGGCACCGCCCCTGGCGCGCTCTGCGCGCCAGGGAGGGGGGCCCAGCGCAGATCCAAGAAATCCGCGCGGAGCGCTAAAAGTTTCTGTTTAAGGCGTTGTTCCTTCTTCTACGCAGGTGTCGTCTGGCGGGTGTCTTTCACGTTGTTCGTCGCAGAATCCGGCCCACTCGCACGCGGTGGCTGCTGATGTTCCAGGGGCCGTTGTGCTCGGCCGCAGCATGAACCGCGTCGTCCCACCCTCGCACGGTGCTCGCCGCGTGTCGGCATGGGCGCCAATGTCGGCGTCGGGAGAATTCTAGGAGGCCTGGACATGAGCACCAACACCAACACACGGGGGTGCCTGGTTGCCTCAACCGGGGAAAGATGTCCCTGGATGGTGGTGTTGGTGGTCATGTTTCGGCCACCTGGGAAGCCCGAATACTACCACCATCGCCGAGATCGGAATCATCTTCCCTCGTTGCAGGCATATCGCCGACATTGGTGTTGGTGTCAACCTCTGGGTCTCGGAAACTCTCCCGAAGCCTTCCAGGACTCCGGCGGGCGTCCGTCTGCCGCCCCCTTACCGGGAAGGGGCAGGACCAGGTAGGAGGAGGAGGAGGAGGAGGAGGAGGAGGAGGAGAGGGAAGAGGAGGAGGAGGAGGAGGAGGAGAGGAGAAGGATGATGACTGATAAGGAAGAGGAGGAGGAGGAGGAGGAGGAGGAGGTGGAGGAGGAGGAGGAGGGGAGGAGGAGAAGGAGCAGGAGCAGGACGTAGGAGGATGAGGAGTGAGAGGAGGAGGAGAGGAGGAGGGGGAGGAGGAGGAGGAGGAGGAGGAGGAGGAGGAGGAGGAGGAGGAGGAGGAGAGAAGAGGCGAGGAGGGAGGAGGAGGGAGGAGGAGGAGGAGGGAGGAGGAGGAGAGGAGAGGAGGAGGAGGAGGAGGAGGAGGAGGAGGAGGAGAGAGGAGGAGGAGGAGGGAGGAAGGAGGAGGGAGGAGCTGAGAGGAGGAGGAGGGGAAGGGAGGAGGAGGAGGAGGAGGAAGGAAGGAGGAGGAGGAGGAGGAGGAGGAGGAGCGATCAGGTATGGAAGGAGGAGAGTACGATGGCTAGGAGGAGGAGGAGGGGGGGCGATCCTACCCCGTCGACCTTTGGCGAGGAGGTCGGTCCTCCCGAGCCCCTTGCCTCGAGCACGCGGCACGGCTGCTCGTGTGCTCCATCCACGTTTGGGTTGGCAGTTTCTAGCTTCGAGGTCACAAGTTGTGGCTGTGGGGAGGCCTTGGGCGGAACGCAGGAGCAGGAGGAGGAGGGGGAGGAGGAGGAGGAGGAGGAGGAGGAGGAGGAGGAGGAGGAGGAGGAGGAGGAGGAGGAGAAGGAGGAGGAGAAGGCAGGAGGAGGAGGGGAGCACGCGCAGGCAGCAGGAGTGAGGAGGATGGCGGAGGAGGAGGAGAAGGAGCAGGAGAGGAGCCAGGAGGAGGAGGAGGAGGAGGAGGCAGGAGCAGCAGAGGAGAGGAGGAGGAGGAGCAGGAGGAGACGGGGCAGAGAGGAAGGAGGAGGAGGAGGAGGGAAAGGAGGAGGAGGAGGCAGGAGGAAAGAGGAGGAGGCAGGAGGAGGAGGAGGAAGAAGCAGGAAGAGGGAGGAGGGAAGGAGGGGAGTAGGCGTAGGAAGGAAGGAGGGAGGAGGGAGGAGGGAGGAGGGCGGAGGAGGAGGAGGAGGAGGAGGAGGAGGAGGAGGAGGAGGAGCTGGCTCTGCCGCCACAGGTGGGCTGGCAGGGCGTGCGAATCGTGCGCCCTGGGAACTACCGCCTCTGCTGGTGCGAGCCGAACGAGGCCCCACTTCCTCGTCGTCGTCGTCGTCGGCGCCGCCGCCGCGGCTGCCGTCGTCGTCGTCGTCGTCGTCGTGGTCGAGGGCGCCGTTGTGGTCGTGGTCGTCGTCGTGGTCGTGGTCGTGGTCACTGTTGTGATCGTTGTGGTTTGTTGTCGTCGTCGTCGTGGACGGCGAAGGTGGTCGTGGTCGCGGCCGTGGTCGGGA